AGGCTGCACTGGCTTGATACAGCTGCTGGACTCAGCGCTCACACGGAGCAGCTGGGCCCTGCGTGCTGCTGGTGCTGCTGGTGCCGCTGGTGCCGCTGGTGCTGCTGGTGCCGCTGGTGCCTGCTCCTTGCTGTCAGGTGTGCCCGAGAGGGGATGTCTTGGGCCTGAGTGGTTGTCTCTGCAAAACTGTGTCCTTGCCGTGCTTCAAAAAGATCAGTGCCCAGCCAGAACACCGTCATTCCCTCTGCACAGTGAGCAATGTCCCTCAGGGTGCACATGGAGAAGAAATGCAGCGTGCAGATACTGATCTCACACTGCAGCTTGGCAGGTGTTTCATGTCACTGCTTCGGTGGGTGAAGCCATGTTTATTGAGCCCATCACAGGGACATTTAGTTAGACAAATTCTAAAGTACTGCATTGAATATGCTTTCTAATTGTCAGTTTTAGGAAAATTTTAACTCTGTGGGCTAGCAGGGCTACTGATAAAGAGATTTGCCTTTTGGGATCCACTCGTGACCTCTCAGTACTGGGGTGTTTAAAACACGTTGGCTCTTGCAAAGTAGGGTGTTTGGTTCCACCTGCTGTCTGGCTTGGGAAGCGCCTTGTTTTGTCGCTCAGCCGTAATGAGCCGTATGCTGACTTTTGCTTCCACCTGCTATGTTACTTAAAAACATCATTGTTTCATTGGTCTGATGACTGAGATTTGTACTTGGTAATAAAGTATGTCTGGTATTTGACCCTATTTAGGATACTAGATACATCTCTGAAACCTTAGAATTATTCAAACTAGGAGCTGTATTACCTAGATGACAGTTAATTCTGTTCAATGTAGATGTTACACTATTGCACTTCATCACGTTGATCTTACATGTTAGAGGACCAGAAGTAGAAAAAGTAGACATTTGGAGGGAGATTTTTCTTTCATTTTTTTACAATACATTTTGTTCAAGAGAGGAAAAAACCCAGACTACAAAAAAACTCCAACTCTGAATTTGACCATGAACCAGATACTGAAGGGAGGGAAAAAGAAGCTCTGTTTATGCCTAGTATCCTAGAGAAACCAGCCAAGAACAGTTCATTCTCAGATAAGAAAGGCCAGGAAACATTGCCAAGATTGATAGAATCTCAAGTTATCTGCCACATGAGCACTGGTACTGCAAGTTACAATTGCCCAACTTCAAGCTGTTTTTTCATCTTGCAGCATATAAAAGAAAAAATGATATGCCTCAGAATGTGTCTTACTTAAGAAAAAAATAGGGTCAGATATTTATAAATAAATGGGTGTAAATAAAATTATTATAATCAGTCAGACTTATCTAAATTAATAAACCCTTTGTTACCCATTTCTCACTAGCAAGCTTACTTGGCTGTTCCTTTAAATAGAATGGAGGTTCTAGTCAGAATGGAGTTGGCCCCAGCTCCAGTCAAATACCATAGGCATTAGCTCTGCTCCCACACAGGTTTTCCTCTCCATTCTATAGACAACAATAGCTTCCTTCTCAAAACATTATGCTGTTAATAACATCTATGAGATGGGTTGATAAAGCTGTCCTATTGATATAATGCTCTCCTTATTAACTGAAGAAAACTTTGGAACTCAGATAACTTTCATATCCTTGTAACACAGTAGTTCAAGCAGTTTAAAAATTTTCCTACTTGTTTTTTTAATAACCAGCATAAGTCTGTTAGAGATGAAGCAGAATCAGCTCTACAATACCTCTGCATTTTCCTTACTGCTCTATTTTGGAACTTGTCTGATAGATTGAATCAATCCTTTAGAGTATATTTAATAGTTCTAAACAAAGCATGCCTTGCCTTAGTTCCCTATGATATGCTTTGCCTTGGCTGAGTACATGGGGACCACTGGTGCCAAGCCAGTTTTGGTCCTCACAGTCTCTCATTGTTCCTTTGGAAGCCCTCCACAAGAATTTCCTCTTTTCTCTGACTTACCTGACTGACAATTTTAATTCAAACTAGGACTGCAAGAAAGTGCTCAGATGTTTGCAAACCTACTGATGCCTGATTTGCATTACTTGAGAGCAGATTCCCAGAGCTGCTGGTCACCTGGAACTGCAGTTAGTGGCTTTCATTGGCCCTGCAAGGACCCAGGGTTTCTGAAGCAGAGATGAGCTATCATAGTCTCTGAGCTTACTGAGAACTGTTGGTGAATAAACCCTCTGTAGACTTCTCAGGACACTATGAAACTAAAAAGCAAGATTAAATGTGCCTTACAGGGCTGGAGGGAATTCAAGCTGTCTAGAGAGAGACAACATATTATATGAGACCATCCAATAAATATACATAGGCAAGCTCCATCGTACCTGTTTCTCACGGGAGGGAGAAGAAATACTCTCCTCCCCCCAGCACTAATTTAACTTACTTGCAAGGAAAAATAAAGGAATGATGAGGAGCTGTAATCTTTCTCTTCTTTCACTGACAAGTGCCAAACACTGGCAGCAGGCACTATATTATGCTGCCAGAGTGGGTCTGCTCGAGGTGCACACACCCTTTTTCTGCTGGACTTCCTTTTTTTTTTTTTTTTTTTTGTTTTGTTTGTTTTGTTGCTTTGGGTTTTTTTGGTTGGTTGGTTGGTTTGAGTTTTTTTTAGCTTTTATTACCATTTCTGTTTATTTATCTGTTCCATCTATTGACTTGCTAGCTGTGTTCTTCATCCAACTAAGTGCTAGAAGAAAGAACTTGCAATGTGAAGGTGACACTCTGCTGGAGGCTATGAAGATCCTGTCATTCCTGGAGATGTATGTATAAACATCTGCAGCATAAAGCATAAATTCCAGATGGGAATTTTAACCAAGTTTTAGCATATGAGTCAGAGAAGGAGGCTGGAATGGCAGAGACTGCTCGTGCTGGTGAATTGCTTTCCTCAAAAACACACTGATGTCAACTTGCAACTAAAATATTTGCCTGCCCTCTTCACCTTCCCCCTTGCTCGCTTGTTTTTTAGGCTGCCAGGACTATGGTTTTTGATTCAGTCATGCTGAACAGGACTGACAGTCACTGTGACAAGAAAGCTTTCTTGGTCAGTATGTACGGCAACTATGCTAGGAAGTTTTGGAGGTGTCTTGTCTTTTAGACTGTAGATGAAAATTTAGGTGTGAAAACTCAGCGTGGGCTCCTTTTTGAAAGGCAGCAGATGTCAAAAACAATCTGGATAAGCTGTAGGTATTTCTGGAAGAAGCAAAGAAAAATGCAAAGTCTGCATGTGATGCTTGCAGTGTAAAAGTATTCCTGGAATCTCAGTATGCCTAGAAAGTGCACCGATTGATGCTGAAAGAGTAGATAAAAATCCCTAACTTTCTGACCACAACTCACAGTTTTGCTTACAGGTCTGATGAGCCAAAATAGCCAGTTGGCATGGAGGAAACTTGGTGCATTCACAGATGGAGTGACACTAGTGGCACTCCTAGAGGGAGCAGGAAATGTTCTCTCTGCTCTGTTAGTGTTGGATAGGGAAACAGTCTCCATTGCATGTACCTGTGTTCTTCAGAAGGACCAATTTTTACTTACACTGGAGCCATTCACTTTGCATTTTGGAGTGTATGAGCCATCTTCACTGGTATCACTATATCCCTGAAGCAGGGCCTGCTTTTCCTCCTAGTTCTGCTGCAGGGCAGATCAGTCTGTTTCAATGGGAATTGACAACTGACTTCAACATTAATAGGTTTAAAGGTTAGAACATGGGAGGTATCAATAAACTAGGATGGCAGAGTTTTATAGGTGTGACCTTGTAACGTTTTAGCCAACAAGATAGAAATGGATTCTCACCTCACTTCGAATTTATTTAGCTGAAATCTGCTTTTAACCCCCCTAGTTGATTACAAAGTGCTTTTGCTGCCTTTCTATGGTCTGCTTTAGTTAGGCTGCCAAACTCAAGGCAGCACAGACAAGATGGGGGTGGTTGAGTAAAAAGAAGCAAGCAGCAGCAAGCAGACAGGCAGCTGGAAGGAATGTAACTTTTTTTCCCCCCAACATCGTCAAGATGTCTAGTTAGATTAGATGCACTTCCAGGTGCACCCAAAATTCCTTCTATTCCCCAAATGGTTCCTTTTAGCTTTGGTTTTGGGATTTTATTAAAGAGTTCAAGACAGCTCAGTCATGCTTGTTTTGGCACAAAGTTAGATAGCTACGTAATGACCCAGTGGGATCCAGTTTTCAACACACTGAGGAAGATGCTCCGTTCATTTCCCAGCCTGATGCTTTTCCAGCTGCTTTCACTGTGCAGTGTCCTCATTGGGAAAATCTTTCAGACCCTCAAAATCCTCTCTCAGCCTGGAGGTTGTTGTGCAAATCACGGTTGCTGAGAAGCTGCCTTGCACTGTGCCCCAGAGCCCCTTGGCGATGTGCTGAAGGCAGATGTTGGATGGAATCACAGACTGGTTTGGGTTGGAAGGGACCTTACAGATCATCTGGTTCCAACCCCTCTTCACGGGCAGGGACACCTCCACTAGGCCAGGTTGCTCCAAGGCCCATCCAGCCTGGCCTTGAGCACTTCCAGGGATGGGGCAGCCACAGCTGCCTG